CAAACCAAAACCTAAAATGTTAATCCTTTAATGTTTAAAATGTTTTTATTATCTGAAGTTGTAAATATTTCTGGGTGATGTTACGTTGTTTATTCTGATGTTTTTACCAAACATTTTGCTCCTTTCGTTTCATTTCTTCATTACTGTAAACACAAAAAACAACAATAAAATCAAAAATAACTTAATCGGTTCTTCTGCCTTTTTCTTTGTGCAGCTTCAATCCAAGAATCTTTTTTTTCTCTCTCTGACTCATCGACCTCATTTTTCTTCTCCCCCGTCTCGTTCTCTCTTTCCTGCTCTCCTCTGTCTTTTATCAGATAATAAAAATGACTCATCCAGAGCAGAAGTTTCCGTCAACTCCTCTTCCTTTAAGAAGACACAAAAAACTTCTTCTGGAATTATTATGTTATCCTCCATGAACACACACACCACTCTCTCCGCCTCTGTGAGGAGTTAGGAGTGAATCTATCATCACCGGTGCAGAACAGTGAAGATGTCGGAGGTTCTGCAGAACATCCAGATGTTCCGTGTCTCATCATGGCTCCGTCTTGTGGACAGCAGCGGAACTCGCAGCTGTTCCTGGACTCTGGCTCAGAGTGGTTCCAGAGAGCACGTGGAGAGAACACGTTATAATTCACAGACTCACAGACGGTTCCTCTGATCTGATGATCAGAACCTAATGTAGAAACACGAACCACTGACATTTATGACACGGCTGGTTACGACTCTCCCTGGATTCAGAATCAGATTCATCTGAAAGTATCTGTTCATCCAAACTCTACCAGAATACGTTTAAACACTGCCCCCTGGTGACACCCTGCAGTACAGTTCACGATCCCATTTCCTCTTTTTTTTTTCTCGTTCCTTTGACTTTAGTACTGTCATTACACCACTTTTAACTTCTACTGGAACCATGGTGGTGGTGTCACACATGATCCCTGGAATTCCAGCTGCTCTGCGTCAGAATCATTACCTCACATTTAAAACCGTAAAAAAACAAAACTCTGCCCTTTCATCTCCAGCATCTTCTCATCTTCTCACCAACTGATCTCCTCCTTTGTGTTCTTATTTTCTCCTCTCCTCTCCTCTTCCATCAAACTTCTCAACTCTTCACTTCCTCTCACCTTCTCATATTCGCGGCTCAACGTTCTTCTGACTCCATGTCAGGACTTCCGTGGTCAGTTATTCATTAATGACTTTTTTACACCACAGCTTCAGGATAAAATAGTGAAAAAAGCCATCAATTTTCTCACGAGTGCAGCCAAAAGAGTTGCTTCACTCTCTGCACACAGATGTTCTGATGTAGCAGGGTGTGGATCAGAGACAGACACAACAGCCGTCACCAACTCTGTGTCTGTGTGCGTGTGTGTCACATGTAACACACACACACACTGATGTGAACAAGTGTATTAACAGACAGAACATCAGTGACTAACAGCCTGTAATCTCACACATATCTGTTTTGTCAGCAGCTCTGGGTGAGCGTGTGTGTGTGTGTTGTGCGGCCATCGGAGTGGTTTCCTCTCAGCGGTGGAAAAACCCTTTGATTTCCTGTGAAAAGTGGAGGCGACAACAAACTGTGGCAGAGGAAAATAAACTCTGAGCTGATTTTTCCTCAATCACTGATTGGACAATTATCGTCCACTGACCTTCTCTGACCCGTCGACTGTTGGGGGTTTGGAAACAGGGACTGGACTGGGGTTTTTTCAGAAAACACAAAACACAAAGAAAAATGTAACTGTTGGTCAGTTAGGAAACAGGAAATCCAAAAAAAAGTTACTTTTGTGCCTTAGAGAAATGTAAACGTTAAAAACATATTCATATAAATAAAAAATATATTATTTTTATTATATATTAGAATTCATAATAATATTTAACATACATTAGAATATTTATATTTATCCACGCTTTTTCCAGTTGTTCTATACCTTTAATTTAGAAATGGCTCATTATTATTATTATTGTTGTTTTATTTTTTTTATTAAGATTTTGAAAGACGTGTGTGCCTAGTAATGTAATGTTTTCTTTTTCTTTCTCTTTTCTAAACTTGTTTTCTATGGGTGAAACAGCGCCCCCCTTGGCAGTCTCGGACACGTGCGGACAGAAAGCGCCGGCCGGTGAAGATGATGAACGTCGGTTTGCTTGAATCAGGAAGTGTTCGGCCCTTTGTGTTGTTTGTGTAAAAAAAAAAAAACACACCAAAACCCCCCCCAAAATGACACAGAACGTTTTATTTTTCCCCCTAAATCATAACAAATGTTTATCAATGGATAATTCTGGAAAGAAAGACCGTGGGTGAAGAAGAAAATGTCTGCCACCATGACAGGTGAACATTTGAACAACTTCAACTCCAGGAAGGATTTGGACACGAAAGGCCCGAGGCCTCAGACGAAGTGAGTCAAACAATTTACGTTTTATTTTAGCTCCTAGTTTGTTTGTTTGTATGTTTGTTTGTATGTTTGTTTACTTCTTTCACTGACTGTGAACTACAAGTCTGTTTGGTTTTATTATTATTCTGCTCTGTGGTTTTAACAGTCACTGCTGTTTCACATGCTGTGTTGGCTGCTGTTGTCAGACTTTTTTTTAAAAAGTTTTGTTTTTAAAACTAAATATAGTTGTTTTTGTTTGATGTTTTAATGATAAGAAACTCTCCCTTGGTGCTCATAAATCAGGTCCTAGTTTGTTGAAGTTGTAGTAAACATATTCATCTGTCTGAAACGTTAGCACTGTGCTGTATAGCCGTACAGGCTAGCTGTCAGCTGTAAACGTACACAGAAGTACAGTAAAACTGTCTCTGCCTCGTTGTTTGAAATCACGAACGCAACTAAATCCTCAGATTAAAGCAGGTTAGTGCAGCAGATTATTCTCAGGTTTGACTAAAGATTGACATTGTTTTGGCATAATCCCCTGCCTAATCCCATAATCTGGGATTCATAAACCAGACCACACTCTCTCTGGATCCAGAGTTTAAAAATAGAATTACTGAGAGCTGGGGGTTTGATTCTGTGGTCAGAGTTTTCCCACGGTCCCGTTCCCACCGGGATCAGCCCTGAGGCCTGTCTGTGGTTCTGACAACAGACCAGTTCTACTGACAGACTGACATTGGTGTCTGTTGTTTTATAGCTAACATTAACACTGGACTGGATTTAAAGTGAAACCCTCCTCATGTGGATCAGGGAAACTGGTCCCAGACTTGGAGAAAGTCCTGTTTCCGAACAATCGATTCTTTTACTTTCGCTGTCTTCAGCATCTGCTTGGTATTTTCCACAAATTTGATTTTTATGAAGTCTGTTTTGAATTAAACTCATTTCTTTAAAGAAATTGACAGTCGACCCACCATGATGGTACTGTCCTCTATAACTGTATGATAAATGTAGGTCGAGCATCAGTGTTGACTTTATGTCACTGCATGTAAGTAAGTGATTAACTATTACCTGGCGGCCCACGGGCCAAATCTGGTCATTAACATTAAATAATGCTAGACAAAAATGTGATTTATTCTCCTCTACAGTGTCTGTGTGTCAACGGGAGACTGAGAGGGGGGGGCGGGGGTGTGTGTGTGTGATGCGTGGTGTCCTCAGCAGCAGGGAGTGTGTTTGTTCTTGGTAGCAGCATCCTGAAATCTTTAACACTCCTGCTGAGAGAACCAACCACACACTGACACAGACCGTGTGTGTGTGTAGTTGTAGTTTCAGCAGCGAAACATTGAAAACATTCCTTTTCCTGATAACAGACACCTGGAGACATTTGTCCTCCAGACTGATCCTGATAACAGAGACCTGGAGACATTTGTCCTCCAGACTGAGGGACGGTCCTGGAGGAGCTCAAGGTCTGATGTTTGAAGATTGTCTTTCTGTGACTGTTAATGTGGTTGGTCGTCGTTGTTCTTCCCTCTCAGTCAAATGGATTTGTTTCTGTTGGAATAGAGAAAGAGAACAGTTGTTCTGATGCCAGTGTGTCCCTGGGCCGGGCCCAAATGCTGCTGTGACTCAGAGCTCTAGCCTGTAGAGTTGTCTGAGGTTTGTCTGTTTACATCTCAACATTTCTCTCTTTAACCACTAACAACTTCCCCTCCTCCTTCTTCTTCTTTATCTTCTTCTTCTTCTTCTTCTTCTTCTTCTTCTTCCCTCAGTGGAATTATAAATGAAAAATAAATAAAATTGAAAAAGTAAACAGCGGCTGTATGAACTGCACGGTGAACAAAACCTGTACAGTGTAAACACAGACACGTCACTGTATCATCATTAAATACTTCATGCAGTGGAGTACCAGAGTGACCACTTCACAGTGTCCACTGACATAATACCTGAAGAATGTGAGGAAATTCCCTGAGCTCCACGTGCACGGTGACACGTGCACTAGCTGTGATTGTGGAACGTTTAGGCCACGCTGGGAATAATGAACTCAGTGAACTGCGGTAGAGACCGACTTTGAAAATCACAGTGACATTTTATCAGATAACTGCAGAAAACTTGGAAATAATCTGTGTAAATGTAGAAAATGCGTACAACAGCAGAACAAGAGTTAAAAAAAAAGTCCTGGAAACTCCTTTAGAGTTGGGGCTACGTCAGAGCGTACAACAGCAAAACAAGAGTTAAAAAAAATGTCCTGCAAACTCCTTTAGAGTTGGGGCTACGTCACAGCCGACCAGAGTGAGAGAGGATTCCCCTCACAGACCTCACAGAGCGGCTGCAGGTGGAAACTAACGGTGGAATAATGAAGTGAAGCTCCGGGGAGTGACTGTGATGTTGAACAGGAAAAATAAAAATCCACTCCTGGGTCGGTGCTGATAGAGCGTTTTTTTAAAGCCTTGTGTTTCACATGTCAGAACAACAGGAGCCACAGAGGGATTTAACCACGTTAGCCTTCAGACCTGGAAACCACCGGAACCAGCTGGTGTTGTCGCCAGTGGACAAATTATTCCAAAAACTCCGTGATGGAAATAAAATTGCCAGAAAGAATTGGCAACACCTGGAACCAAACCCAGGAGACTCAGGAGTTTAGTGGAAATAGATTTGCTGAATAATCTGGTTAGAGCCGGGAGTCTGGAAACACTTGATGGGAATTGTTAGAAAAACATTAGCCGGGCAGGATTTGGTGAAAAAAAAAACAAATCTGGAACGTAAAGTTTCAAATGATGAGTCAGGAAACGTGTGGAGTCTCCTGCAGTTCCAGTCTCAGATCCCTGGAGGGGGCTGAGGTTCGATGCCGACTTTAAATCCTGTCTGAAAGTTTTTAAATGAGTAACAACTGCAAAGTAACACGAGAGATTTTTATTGTTCTTCTTTCCTTTGATCTGGCTCTGTTCCTGCAGTGGAATTAGAAATCCACTCCACCGTCACAGGATGGAACAGTTCTACAGTGGGACTTCACGATACGACCTAAATACTAGTTAAAACATCGAGTTACCAGTGTTTAACCCAGCTCCAGTTTTCAACTCCTCACTGTCCCAACAGTAATATAAAAATATAAAATGTTTTCTTAATTATTATAAATTTATATGATTTGTTTATATCTATGTTTTTAATGTTTAGATGGAGGGAGATTTAATTAAATTAATTAATAGTATATTTCTGGGGCTTAGAATTAATTAATTTTTTTTTTTTAAGTTATTTTGAATGCAGTGAGAGACGAGTGCTGCTGTGGAACCGATTAAACTGGTATCACCGTAGATGCTGTACGTTCAGTTGTTCCTGGTACTGTTGTACTATCAGTAATCAGAACAGATTCACACATGTTCCAGGTACCGACCTTGTTCCTGGCACCCACAGGTCCTGGTACTGTTGTGTAAAGTGACTCAGTCCTCCGTCTCCGTCACATTCATTCTCTGGCTCAGTCTTCGCCACGTTGTCTGTTTGAGTTTTAAACTTGAACTCCTTGAATTTTTTTTCATCTTTTTTTTTTCCATTTTAACGTCTGTTTGAAACAATGACATTTTTTTTTATTCTGCGTAACAAATCTCTAGTGCTTTTAGCTTTTCTTCAGCTCTTGTTGCCAGCTTCTTGGAAACAAACACTAAAATAATCTTTTCCAAAAAACTTATTGCAACATAAAATCCTGACGTTAAATCACTGGAGTTTTTTTTTTCTGTGTAAATTCAACCTAACTGTTATTCTCTGGGTTCATCATCCCGTCCATTCACTGCTGAAGTGTCTCAGCTGCACTGATGAAAACCTCGACCCAGTCCTGACCTCAGTGAAGAAGGCAGCGTCTTGTCATCGTCCAGTTATTATCAGTCGGAGCAGGATCTTCTTCACAGGTCTGTTTTCAGGAGGTGGTAGACGTTGACAGAAGAGTTTTCATCAGCCTCTGACATCACTGCCTTTAGAAGAGCCTTAAACGCATTAGTTCTAAAAACATCTCCTCAAAGGACGGGGATATAATTAAAGAACAGCAGTGACGGGCAGACGAACCGCGGTGAAGACCTGAGCTCATACCTGAGACACAAAGAGTTGGTCAGTCACATCGTTCACATCGGTTCTGTAGACGTTGGACCTGCAGGTGTTTGGTCGTCGTGGTTTATTGTTGTCTTGTTTGGACAAGAGATTCAGATAATCCTGGTGTCGATTTTCTTCTTCTTTTCTTTCTTCTCTAGTGATTCCAAATGTAGATCCCTCTGTTCCAGTGTTAGGAACTGATGTTCAGATGGAACAGAGTCTGAAACTAGGATCACACTGGGACTACAGCTACACTGAGGGGAAACACCTCAACATATGTATCGCTATATATCCTATCGTTGCCCGTGTATCGTAGCGTCAGATTCTAGCCATTACACACCCTTACTGTTGGAAACTGTCAGTGTTTCTGAAGTTTGAAATAGTTTTTTGTTTTTCTTTTTTGCATTTTTTTGTAAAATGGCCTGAAAATGTTTAATTTTCAAAGGAGGAAAAAAAGTAAACCAGCAGTTTAGGCCTCGTAAAAATATTTACGATGAGTCCATTTCCTGACAGTTCTGATCTGCATGGATTTTAAGAGTAGTGATCCAGTGAAGATGCAGAAAACCAGAGGAAACTTCCATCAGTTCTGCCAGTTCTCTCTGTGCTCCAGTGTGATGGCAACTCTGCTACTGATTAGTCCAAGAATCTGTTGAAGAAAAAACCTGATGTTTGGACCCACCCTGATTTAACTACATTGTCTTCTGAGACTCTCAGACTCAGGCTGTTGTTTTTTTGTCAGTGCTGCAGTGGAACAAGAACAGGAACCCAGGGACTGAGGTTCTGTAGAGCTGGAACATGTTCTCAGTAGGTTCTGCTGTGTAGTGTGGTCCATCTGGACCTTCATGTTGTTATTATTGACAGGCTCCAGTGTTTGGACTGGACCTGGAGTGTCACAGGGACTTTGTTGGTTTTCCATGAGGTAGAGGGTGTTGGCTGGTACTGGACCGGGTGAAGGCACTCTCTGACATCACTGTAGAAAGAACCCAGAACTGTGCCGCCGCACTAATAAATGACACGTCCTGGGACTGAGTTGTTGGTAGATTCTGGCATTTCTAACGTCAGGCCTTTCATAAAACTCTCTTTGTCAAGTTGTTGTAAATACAATTTTCTTAATCTGAGGATGACGTCGTACAGCTTCAATCCAGGTTCATGTCAGAACCGTGAAGACGACGTCTCCTTTACATCATCATCATCATTGTCTATAAACATAAAGTCTGTCCGACACAGTTTCTAACCACTGTCTATAAATATAAAACCTTCAGGATGGAATTTATCAAATATAAAAACATAAAATATTACAGCAGAAAATAATTGTGTTTGAAGCTGCAGCATAAAATGCAGCTCGTGTTTCTGTCTTCTACTCTTTAAGAGAGGGAAGAGTGTAAACTTCGTCTTTGACAAACACTTTTTCTCTGATAAAAATCTGTCCGTCTGGAAAAATGTGATGCAGGATCTGGGCTAAAATAAATATGTGATCCACCCACCACGGAGAGACGGAGTGAGAATCCTGACACAGTGAGGGGGGGTTATTTACTTTATTTTATTTTAACCTGGGCAGCAACACTGAGGGAGGGGGGGAACAAGGGGGGTTAGATGGTCAGAGTCAGATGATGGTTTTATTTTGTTGGTTTAATTCAACCAGGGGGCCGGGAGGGGGGTCAGGGGGGGTACAGAAATGTCTGAACAGTTGTGTCTTTATGAAGACATGCTCTTGGCCAGTGTCTGACAGTGTGTGAGAGTGTGTGTCTGACGGTGTGTGTGTGTGTGAGAGAGTCCAGTGAATACTGACCTCTTCTGTTCACACACACTCAGAGACGGCAGGGCCGTGGACCGGTGGCTTTGTGCCCGAAACACATGTGTGTTTACCTCATGTTTTCTTTAAGATCAGTGGACAGCAGGGGGCTCCACCCTGACACCTGTGTACATATTATTCACATGTACTTACAGGAACAGAGGTCAACACAGAGGTCACACCGGAACTTTCATCTCGTAATTTGTAATTTAAATTTTTTCAGTTTTTGCTGGAAAATGCTGCTGTTGCTGCTGCTGTTGCTGCTGTTGCTGTTGCTGTTGCTGCTGCTGCTGCTGCTGCTGTTGCTGCTGCTGCTGGTGCTGCTGCTGCTGCTGCAGGGAATGAGGATTTACACCTGATCAGGTTTCTTTGTTTACACAGCAGTTATCAGGCAGAGTGAGCTTCCATGGCTGAGGTGTAAATTTTGTCTGCAGCTGTAAAGAGTAAACTGACCTTTCTGTAACTTGATTAAACTCTAACGCTGCCCCCTGTGGGGAGGGGGAACTCAGGACACGTGAATGTGTTCCGGGCCTCGTTCACACTAACAGTCAGTTTCAGCAGCTCGGTGTCGTTTGGTTTTGGGGTTTTTTTAGCACCATGGAACTAACATAGGAAATGTTCTGCTGCATTTTTCAACAGCACAGTTGATGAACTAATTCTTCAGCAGTTCATTCATCTGAGCTTCTTAAAATTAGAAAATGGCAAAAAAAAATTCTTATACTAAACTGCAAGAACTGAAGCTCTGTGTTCCTTCGTTCTCCATCTGCAGCCGTTGTGAATAAACTCTCTGAATTGTCCTGATGTTGTTTTTAAATGTGGAACAAATGTTGGTAAAACAGTGAGTTCCACCCCTGTGACTTTCATTACCTCTGAACTTTTATTTTTCCTTCAAACACTGCACCTTTGGACAGTTCAGTGTCATAAACACCACACACACACACAGTCTTGGCTCCGGCCTTCAGTAAAATTCCAGAGGAAACGTTCCGATGCAGGAACACCTGTGAAGAGGCGACTCCACCTGGAGGAGATGATTCAGCAGCTCAGACTGAGAGACTGACATGTTGTGAGGGGACCACACGGTTATTCACTGCTCCACACACACACACACACACACATTTGTCCAATACCCCGTTTTCAATATAAAAAGCTGGAAGTTTTAAACTGTCCATATAAAACAGTGGATCTCTGTGACTGAGGCTGAAGATGTTCTTCTTCTTCTGACATTCCACTGGAAACGTGTAACACGTCCGGCGGCTCTGTCCACGTTCCACCGGCTGTATCCTGTTGATGATGTTTCCAGTGGAACATGAGGGTCAGTGGACCTGATGTTGGCTGTTGTTTTTTTTTTCTGGTCAAAAACCAAGCTGAAAACAAGGTGTTTTCTTTTTGTCTCTTGTTATTGACAGTTTGGCCCAGACTGAAGACTGAATGTTGGACAGTGAAGGTGCAGTGTTTGTTCATGGATGTGGTCAAAGTGGACTGTTGTTTCTCCTAACTTTAAACCAACCAATTGAACTGAGTTTGACCTGTCAATCATTCTGAGGGTGGGGAAAAAACCCCTTTGTTGTCACTGTGTTTGGATTTGAGATTTGAAAAAAACAACCTGAGGCTCTGTTACTTTTCTGTTGTTCCAGGACAAACACAAACACCCCTCACCCTTCACCCTCCACCCTCCCCCCATCCTCCACCCCACAGATCCAGTCTGACCTTGGACCTGTTAATACCCCCGTCCATTATAGTCTAATAAGCCTGCAGCCCCCTGGAGTGAAAGACTTAGGAGTCCACGTCAGTCAAGAAGACGTGAAATAATAGTTGAACCTTCTGTCTTTACCTCCACATTAGTTTGAATTTGTTGAATTGTCCCTCCTCAAATAAAAGTCTCGTGTTAACTTTGAAAATAAGTGTCAAACAAACTTAAACCTTTTTTTTGTCCTTTTGTCTGACCCACTGTACAGATTAGATTCATATAAAATGATCAGCACCAGTATAATGCGAATCATGTGTTTTTAGCACCACCTACAGGCCTGGGGAGCTAGATGGTCAATGCTGACAAACACCAGAATACCAGGATTTAACCAAATTGTGTACTTTTAATTTCTGGTACTTACCAGGATTTAACTAAATTGTGTACTTTTAATTTCTGGTACTCTTTACAGTTCTTTGTAGCAGATTTTGTCGTGTGCACATGGTTTCTGCTCCTGGTTCCTGGTACCAATTACTGCAGTGGAAATGTTGAGGATTAGCTTCTCCGTCAGCAGATAGAGCTTCAAATAATAATTAAATTAGTGATAACTGTTATTTTAATATCAAAGTTCTCAATTTCTTTGGGTTTTCTTCCATACATTTTTTTTTCAGCAATAGCAACGTTAATTGTAGTTGAAAACAACAAACAGCTGAGGGTCCAAATGTGGAAAATCCCCCGTTGAAGAGCTGTGCAGCTGCAGCAGATGTTCTGTCTCTGTGTTCATCAGTGAGTTGTGATGTCATCCCCAACAGTTCACTCAGTTTTCTCACAGCCTTCAGCAGAAGACTGATAAAGACCTGGTATCTGACTGACTCATACCGGCAGGACCCTCAGACTTTTAATTCCGCCTTCCCACAGACTCACCTCCCAGAAAACACCGGAGCGCTGCTCCTTTGTCTCCACGTCTCTCATCGCTCACCAACGTCCTTCTTTCCTTTGTTTACGTCCAAAAACACACAGGACTCTATGGAGACGTCCGAGCGCTCACCTAAAGTGGGGGTGTGGAGTAATCTTGGAACCACAAAATGTAATTACTCCTCTCCCTCCCCCCCCACAGGAGATTCTTCTTCCAAACAAACGGTCGTTAGGTTTCCGTCCTCCTCATGTTCATAACCAGAAGGTTCTGCTAATTATTCTGTGGTGGGAAGAATCTGTAGGAAATTAGGGAGAACATGTGATAACGTTGTTGCACTTCACCCTGATGACAGGAGATACAGTGTGGCTTTATACTCCACTCAGACATTTATGAAGTAATTAGTATTTCATGAGTATCTATGAATTATCTTCACTTCCTGTCAGACCAATGAAAACGCTGCCTTTATTTCCATTTGTTTGAATCCAGTTCTGGGCCTCGTTGGAGTCGCTGGTGTTTGAATCCAGGGACCAAAGAAGTCACATGGTCACTACTGCAGGCCCAGATGTTGGCAGAGTGCCTCGCCTTACAGCGGAAAAGATCAAGGGTTCAAGCCCCAGCTCTGAGGTAACAGGAGGGGAGGGGGCGGTCGACCACAGTCTAACAACATACAGATTGGGGATTAGGTTTATGTTCCCTCTGAACCGATAAAGAATGAAAAGATTATCATGAAATCTGTGATGTTCTACTGGAGTTTGAACGAAGTTTGAACGTTGGACGTCCTGTGTTTGTTGGGGACATTTGTAGTCGGCCTCAGTGTGAGGTCAGAGGAGTCAGGCCGTCTTATCAGAGCTGCTGCTGCTGCTGCTGCTACAACAGCATCAGCAACACTCTGTGATGGAGCGTTATCAGTCGGAGCTGTCAGGAGACAAGGTCTGAATACTTCTGTATCTGTCCTCCGTCCTCCACCCCCTCCACCTCCTCCACCTCCTCCACCTCGTAAAAAAATCCCAAGCTGATCCTGAGACAGTGGGGAGCGGAGGTGTTCATATCTAACATACCTCTGAGCGTCAGTCACACACACACTCAGCTGCAGAGTCACAGAGAGAGGAAAAAAAATGTTTAAAATCTGAAACATGCCTCGCCACATTTCAGCCGACTCCTAGTTTATTCTGAACGGCGAGTGTTCAATTCCCAGTTTATGACTCAGAACTTTTAACATAAATTTCTGGCCACGAGTTTCCAACACTCATCTGTGATAATATTTCCAGAACTAAATGGACCGAACCAAATGTAATGTAGATGATTTTCTACTTAAAAAAAAAAAGTAAAAAACAAAACCCTTCAGTGGTCGTTAAAAGGCCATATGGGTTTTATTGTGGGGCTGCAGGGGACTGGTTAATGAACGTTGTTGGAACGCTCGCCTTTTATGCTTTCTGCCCATCCAGACAACAATAGTAGAATTGACAGACAACCATACCATAATAAGCTCTGGCGGGCCACATTTGGGCCACAGGCCTTGAGTTTGACATATGTGCTCTAAATATTGAAGAAGAAGAATAAGCAGTAGATCATAGATGGATTTTTTTTTTCCACCATTTATTTGTTCATGTTATCAAACAGACCATGTGCACATGGTAACAGTCTGTACTGGTACATACTGTACCAGTACAGACTGTTCTCATGTCAGTTTAAGTTGTACATTCACAACATGTATTTTTCCCTATTAAAATATACCGTGTGAATAATAAAAAATACTATAATAATAAAAACATTAAGTTTAAATCCATCTGCAGAGAGACCTGGGCTTGACCTTTGAACTTTAGAAACTCCAGACAATATCAATTTTATTTGATCATTTTTCACTTTGACAGACAACAGTTTAGCAGCTTTGTTAAACGTTTATTTTATGGTTCTTTTGTTCTGAAGAGAGACAGTTGTTGTGTTTATTTTTGTCAAGGCAACATTCTTCTTTGGAATGAACAGACTGCATTCTTTCTTTCATTACTGAAAGTTTTTTTTTTTTTGCTGAACATTAAAGAGACATTTTGGATGCTTCACCTCCAGAGGCATCTCCTCCACCTCACCTCCACCAGCCTGTGTCCTCCCCCGTCCTCTGGTCAAGGCCGGAGCTGGCTTTAAAGCCCAGTGAAAGTGAGATGAGCCACAGCAGGAGAAGAAGAAGAAGAAGGCGAACGTCTTCTTCTGAAAAGTGTGCTAATTTGAAAGTGGGAGCTGTGATGTTTGAGGGGAGGACTGAATCAGAAAGTACCCGTCCGTAGAGAGACTCCGAGAGTCGGGTTTCAGCTGTGAGAGGGCCCCCCCCACCGCCCACCCTCCTCCAGGTCAGACGCACTGAAGCTGCCTTTGTTTGACTGAGAACCAGAGAGAGGAGGAAAGAGGAGGAGGAAAAGTTTGCAGAGTTTGGAGTTGGTGCAGAGCAGCAGCAGCAGCAGCAGCTCCATCTCTCTGTTCTCCTCTCAGGAACAGAACCACTTCTGTTCTGGGTCCACACTCAGCTCCACTGAAGATGAAGACCTTTTCACGGTAATTCAAATCTTCTCTGACTTTTGTCCAGAGAATTCTTTTTTGGTTCCACGTGTTCTCACTCCTCACCTGTGTCTCTCTGCAGAGTTCCCCTCTGGTTCTGTGGATTATTTCTACTCAGCGTCCATTTGTGGAGCCGTCACTCCTCTGCATATCAGCTGCTGGACGGTATGTGCTCTCTCTCCCTCTCACTCTCTCCCTCTCTGACTCTGTTGTTGTTGGAGAACGTTCTTTGGCCAAACCTTGTGCTGCCTCATGATTTTTCATGAGCTGGATACTGTATGAATGATGGAGCTGTTCCTCAGCTGTGGTTCTGTGCTCTGCACTGCAGGATGGGCAGGAAGATACTGCTGTAACACACACTCTATCTATCATAGATCTACACTAAAAGAATGAATGAATGAACGTAGAGATTCTTCTGGACATTGACTTCATCTTTGTCCTGTTCTAATATTAGTTTGAAGTAAAGTTCTTGATCTTGATCCAACATCCAGCTCTTGTTACCTTTAAATCAATGTGGACAATTAGCATTGCTGGCTAATATTTAGCTTTTTGCCTGTTACCTTGCTGACTTTGGTTTGATTTATCAAGACAGTTATTCATTTGTTTTCACCCTTTTTTATATATATATTTCTATTTGTCTATTTTGTGCTAACCTCTGAGTATGTTGTAGCTAGTGTTACCAGCAAACTTAGCCAACTAAGTATTTTGTGTGATTACTGCTAACTCTACAGATACTGTTGGCTAACTTTACAGCTCATTTTGATGAATACAGTCTAGATTTTTACCTTTTGTTAATAGATTGACTGATTATTTTTTTAGCTGATATGCTAAAAGTAAACTCAGATTTAGCCTTTTTTATGAACTAGAATGATTTCACTGTGGTTTCATTTTCCTTCCTAATATTTTTGCAACGTTGATATTTTCTGAGCTGAACTCGACCCAGAATCACTGTGTATCTGTATGAGGCTCACGCTGGGGGGGCTGTTTCACAGGAAGTTTAGTGAGAACATGGAGGGGCCACTTGATGCCTTTTTTTTGTTTTCTTTTGTCTGATAACCTGCCGTCTCCTCCTCTGCTGCAGTGATGTGTGTCTCAGAGCCTCTGTTCTCTGTTCTCTCACTGCAGATTATACTCAGAATGTTTCCCATGATTTATGGGTCAGTCAGAACACTGCTACACCTCCTCAGTCATAGAGCTCAAAGCCAAACTGGCTCTCCTTCAGGGGTGTAAGAGGATTTAATTACAGTGAAATATCTCCAGATTTTGTTTCACGATATCGTGTCAATATTTTACAGCTTTGTATCCAGTATTTCATTAACGATTAATGGGCAAATATTCATGTCGTTGGTTCATTTAATCGCCGACTCTACTTCAGAGTTACAGAAGGAGGCGGTGGAAGAAGAAGTGGGTTGTTGTTCCACCAGGTAGTAAAGATGATGTCATGGCAGGATTTCATTGGTTTATAGACCCACAACTGATGAACTGCCTCTGTTTTCATCACTGTGATGGAATTCAGCCTGGAATCTGCAGTGAAGTGTGTGTGTGTATCCTGACCTATGGAGACCTCTGGGTCACAAAGGCTGGATTGTGTGGACACAGCCTCAAACTGTGTGGTCTTCATTATGGCTCTGACTTTTGAATTACACCTCACTGTAATGTCGTCCTGTGGTAACGAGGTTTGAGCTTCACTGCACTGGGGCAGAACCTCGCTCTGAGTGTGTGTGTCTGTGTGTGTGTGTGTGTGTGTTTTGGGTCCAGACTCAGTTTTTATAGAGTGTGATGGCGGCTGTTTGCGTCTCCTCTCTCTCAGGCCCGTGAGTGCCGCTGCCATCGTCTTAATCCTCTGCCATGATTCACATTTTCAAAACACAGAGGCTGGCTCACTTTCCACAGAGAGGGAGGGGAGGGGCAGGGGGGGGGGGGGGGGTGGGGGGGGTGAAGGGGGAGAGACAGAGAGAGCAGCAGGGACAAATATTTCCAAGCTGCATGCTGTAAATATTCCTGAAAACATCAGGGTCTCCATGGCAACAGGAGTGTTTTAAAATAAAGTTCATGTTGTGTGTTTAGTTGAGTGTAAACTGGTTCCTGCTGGACTTAAGGAGTAACAGCTGGTTATAAGAAAGAGCGGCTCGTGAAATGGGTCATCTCATAGTGTTGGTTTGTAATTGAACCTCAACGTTGTTTTTGTTTTTCTCTGGATTCGTGGAGTTACCTGGGAATGTGAGATTCCTGATTAAAAAATCAAACTGTAAACTGTTCTCCTCACTCAGGAGACGAACGAGTGCCTGCACAGAAGAGTAGAAATGAAGTTGGATGGGTGACATTTAGACCGTGATTCACTGCCAAATGTCAGAAATTCCCAGTGTCAGTGCGTGGCCAAAGTCCAAATTCCACTTCATGGATAAATGTGAACTTCCCAAAGAGAATTTGTGGCCACAGTTTATTTGGATTTTGTATTTTTTCATGTTGGATTTGGATCAATTAGGAGCTAAGAATTTATAATTGACCACTGACTCCGTGTCAGAGCGTCATCATAGCAGCGCTCACCGCTGGGATGAGCTGTTCAAATAAGACTAAGAACCAAAGCAGAATAACTGAGTGGGCGGGGTGGGGGCAGTTGTCAGCCTACGGGTGGGTAAAGAGTAGAACATGAGGAAAAGAAGCAGAAAAGTTTACAGTTTGGTAAAGATTCTTATTTTTTATTGACAGTTGTTGTTGCATTTAAACCTCTGACCACTAGTTGGTTGTACAGGGACAGTATTTGCAAGTATTTGAGACTTTGAATCAAATGGTATTTGTTTTAATATACAAGAAAAAAAAATCTTCCATTAGCTGAAGAAATAGCTAAAAGTTAGCCAGGATCCTGCTAAGCTTCAGCTCAAAAACAGGTCAGATGAACTGTTTTATTCTCTGTCCTAAAACTGAATCACAGGCCGTTGAAAAAATAACAGTTACATTTTGACTGAGGTGAACGTACGACTACTGAAGAATGCTGATTGGTCGGTTTTTAGTCTCATTCACAGTCGATCTGTGTCAGTTGTGTTCTGGTGGCTTCAACCACACTGACCAAAAAATGTCACACAGAGTCTTTTATTTTGTCACTTCTCAAAGACATTTCCTGTTTTACATTTCACATTTTTCTCTCCTGTGGTTTGTGGACGTTTTTTAAGACTAGTTTTTCGTCCTTGATTCTTTCATTGACTCTGTTTCCGTCTGAGACTCAAACACAGAAACTCTTCCTGTGACTCTTTTCTCTTTTTTTTCCTCTCCTGCTTCAGCAGAAACAAACTCAGTCAAGATGTACTGCACGTGTCGGTGCGTCACACACTCCATATCCCATCACTGAACCTGACCTGGACCCTGGTGCCTGTCACTCACAGGTCATTGATGATCTCATTGACTCTGACTTGATTTCACTGCTCTGTAAATCTGCTGATGTCAGACTTTGACAAACCCCTGGAATCAGCCACCCCCCCTCCCACCCTCTCATGTTTTTCTGTAGGGTAAACAGGAGCTGAACTAAAATTGTCCTTTAGCAAAACAAGTCTGTTTTTCTTAGAACTGGACCCAGTGTTGGGCCCTGACACTGTCTGTAGAAGTGGAAACTGAAGGACAAAGACAGGATGTGTTTAAGTTTAGGGTTCTGTGACTCTGGAGCTTCTAAAAATGTGTGAGGACCAAAGGTCAATTTGGCTTTTGATGAGTGACAGATACCTGGGGGGGGGGGGGTATTTTTGTTTAGTCGCTGTGCTAATATTTGGCTAATTTTGGTGGAAACTCATAGTTATTTTAACTACTGTTTGAGTAGCCTTTCTTTTTTTGTTTTACTCCAAACGTTGGCCAAAGTTTGCACCTTCAATGATGACATTTTTATTACCCATACAGAGACTTTTAGTTAAATCAAATCTGCATTGAATGAAAACCCCTGTCTTAGCCACTGTAATTATAAATCACATTTTGTATCAATTTAATTTCGACTCATTAGCTCTGTATCTAACAGTTAATCCAGTGAATTCAGCTGCAAACACACAGCAAAAACAGACAACAACAGGAAGAATATGCATCACATAACGTGACATAATTCCTGGACAGAACGGTTTTCCAGAAAATACATCAGAAAGAAACAAGTTTAGAAATAAATAAATAACATTTTTATTGGTTCGACGCGGTCCAAGATCGAGGAGGAGGAGGAGGAAGAGAAATCAGAAACCACATCAAAGTCATCAGGACTTTGATGGTGGAGGCCTTGAAGTCAGTGACTGTTGTTCAGATGGAAGTTAATGAAGCAGTTTGAACAAAGATAAGATTTGTTTGATCAGGAACACAGTCAGAAGTCTCTCAGCGGAAAAATAATAAAAACTTTTATTTTCCTTCCGTTCCTCTGGGGCAAAACACGGCCCTGAAATATATAGACTATAAATATATAGTCATGATACGGTTGAATTACAGGTATGAAATAATTAGTGGATTTATAAGAGTCATGTGACTTTTCATGTGAGTTTAGTGGCCCTTTAATTATGGGACGTTAATTAAAAAAAAAAAGTTCATGTTCACAGCCGTGTGTCTTTAAAGTGTGTGGTTGGACTTTAATGATTTTTGGCACCGACTTGAAAACATCTGACTGCACCTGACGACGACTGGAGGAGCGTTCAGTCAACATGTTTGGGCTCCAGCAGCGGTTTCCTGGTTTGTTAAACACTAAACATGGAAACAACAGGGAATCTCCCGCAGTCTGGAAAGTTTGTGACTGGGAGAGAGAGAGAGAGAGAGAGAGGGAGAGAGAGAGATGCTGCAGGAACAAACAGGTGACTGTGGGTCTGAGAGCAGAGGGACGAGGTCACATCCTGTCCTTCAGAGATGGAGAGACTGAGTGATGTGATGATCTCATGGACCTCGTACTCGGCTGAGTGTGTGTGAGTGTGTGTGTTGTGGAAACACAAAATGTAGGAAATGAAGATTTTACTTTGGCTACAGTATTTTATTCCATCATGGATGTTTTTTTTTAAATAATTTTTCCTCTGAGATGCAGTTGGAGTGTGGAGTTCTTTATGTTCTGCTCATGAGGTTGTGGAACAGGAACGTGTTCTTCTAATGATAGAACAGGGTTAGTTTTTTATTTTTTTATTTCCTCTTCAGTTGTTCATTGGTACATAGTACAGGTAACA